GCTTTCACTTACCTCGTATTAACGAGCTACTGCGAAGGATAGAAGGTGCTACAGTATTTACAACTATAGACCTTACACAAGAATACCATCAAATGCGGGTATATAAACCACATCGTAAATATTTTAGTTTTACGTGGAAATGTAAACAATACCGGTTCAGAGGTGCACCTTTCGGGTTACACTCTTTACCAGCATTCTTCCAACAAGTAATGGAAGAAATGTTTGCAGATATGCCCGACGTGCAAGTCTATATATATGTCACAGACATCTTTTCTAAGACTAAGGGCGAACATGTCGCATTCATCAGACGAGTCCTTAAGAGACTCAACGAGCAAAACTTCAAGATTAACGAGGAGAAATGCCACTTCGCAATGAGCGAAATACAGCTCTTAGGCTACCATATATCTGAGGAAGGTACTAAAATCGACCCAGGTAAGGTAGCACACCTGTTAGATTGGCGAACACCAACTACAGGAAGAGATGTTAACAGCATGTGTGGGTTTGTAAACTTCTTTTCAGATGGAGTACCACACTTGGCTGAATACTCTAAACCTTTTGGACACTTAAGATGTCATAAAGGCAAACTAGGAGACTTGTGGACTAAAGAGCGTGATGACGCATTTAAAGCGCTCAAACACGCAGTCCAACAAGCCCCAGTTGTACAAGGACCAGTCGATGGCGTGCCGTTTGAAATAGCAACGGACGCCTCCGACTTAGCCTTAGGAGAAGTATTATATCAGGTTATAGATGACAAACCTAGATATATACAATTCTTTAGTCGAGCAATGAATTCTTCACAGTTGAATTATCCAACTGTTAAACAAGAGCTATTAGCCATAGTGGCAGCTCTAACACACTTCCGAGATTACTTATACGGAACAGCATTTACGCTGATTTGTGATCAGAAATCTCTCCAATATATGAATGAGATGAAACCGGACTCACAATTACTGAGTCGCTGGCATGATACAATATCAAAGTTTCATTTCGATATAAAACATCTGCAAGGAATACATGTCCATTTACCGGATATGTTATCACGCTTTGTATCAGACTTTAATAAATCCGTACGTGAGTTACTAGCCACTGACTGGAAGTGTAATCCCAGGTGGTTTGAACTGGCTCAAAAGATATTTGGGCCACATACCATAGATATGTTTGCTGCACATCATAATGCACAACTATCGAATTACAGGACTTTAAATCATCCTTTGGGAGACGCCTTTCAAATAGATCTCTCCAAACATAATGCGTGGGCTAATCAACCGTGACAGTTAATTGCCCAGCTATTAAATTATGTTCATATACATAAAGCTACCATCACGTTGTGTTGCCCTTTACGGAGTAAAGATCCATGACTCAATAAATTAATAAGCATGATACAATGTGAGCCATATATTTAGATAGGGAAGTAGATACTTTCCTATACCAGGGTACCCGAGCCGTCCAGAAGACGCCCTGGAGACATACTATAATATGTCGTATAGATCCCATTGAAACAACCAAATAGACCCCTTCTGAGACCTTCCTTAACAAGGTCAAAGAATCAGAGATTCCACTCTCTACCCAATTGAACGTTAAGCAGTTCAAAGGCAACACAGCGCTTGAAGTCTGTGCACAAGAAATACGATCTACTAATGTCACTACTGTTAAGAAGCGTCAGTCTCTAGCTAGGACTCTGTTTAATAACATAAAGTCCAAGCCCGAGGTCTTTCAAACCTTATTTTTAAAGGGATTAATGAAAGACAATCCTGAAGCGTATACACATATAATGCGACTATTTAATAAGTCAGGTGTATCTAACGCACATGAGCGCGATTATGACGCTCATGCAAAAACAGGACAGGAGTCTGAAAACACTACAAACAGAGACCACGCAAGTGGATTCTCAACACCCTAACTTTATTCTTTAGGTGCAGAATGATGAAAATATTCTTGCTTGGCTGAAGCAAAACCATAAACTGAAGCACCAGAACGTAGTAGACGCACTTAAAGATGCTAAGCGAAATGGGATCGCACACCCTAAGCTGGCAACTTTAGTTGACAGAGTATATCAGTCATGTACAGACTGTGATCTCAATCAGATCAAGCGCTACGGGTTCGCATCGCTTAAGAGTGTGACTGAAGATGTTCCATGGCGCAGGGTCATCATTGATCTGGTTGACCTGCCCACGTCCGAGCACACAGGCAACCGTTACGTATGTCACTTCTTTGATGTGGCGTCACGATTTAACTTGCTCTATCCATTAAAGGATAAGAATACGCAGACCGTGGCAGAATTATGTTGCCAAGTCTTTGCTGACCACGGGTGACCAGGTATTATGTGCACTGATAACGGTATTGAGTTCTGCGATGACGTAATGGAATCGCTAGTACTCGTATCAGGCATATGCCATAAGAGAGGTGTGCCATATAAGCCGCAAACGCAAGGCGCAGTTAACACCCGTCAACGTAATTCCGATGCTACTATATTAACATCTAAATGGATAGGTCCATATATAATCTCTGTAGCAGACACTGAAAGTGGAACTAACGAGGTAAATAACCCCGCTGGTTCTAGTGTGCTTAATATAGGCACAAGTCGTATTTCGACTACAGAGATTATACTCGCAAGAAGACATGATTCTAATGCCCCTTTTGATCATTCTGAATTTAAGGACATTATATGGAGAACGGATAAGGGAGGCTATACATACTATCGTACCCGCTTTATAGACGGTACAATAGCTGAGTTTACTTCAGATGCTTTCGATAATCAAGACTATTTAAAAGCCTTTAATCGAAAATGGCGTAAACGCTTGCATAAGTCACAAGCTGAAAAAGATAGCATGTTTCCATCATTTGAAGGAATGGAAGTTAAAACTTATCCGCCTACAGCATTTATCCGGAGCTTTAATGCTCATCCTTCATATGTGCTTAAGTTACTGAAGCGTAAGAAACGTCCAGTCGACCACCACAGACCTACTGAACCTAAGCCCAAAACTCACAGGGTAACCGAAAACGCTTAACTTCTCCGCCTGAGGAACATTAACTATATGTTCTGCTACTTAATGTTTTCGACCCAATTTTCCTTTCTCGCTTTTTGAGCCATAATCAGCTGGAATGAGCAACTTGCTTCTCATGGGTCTCAAAGCTGGGTGGGGGCTGTATAATAGCCGGGCCTCCACATTAGACTCTATGTTATAAACGTACTCTTAAGCAGTACGTAAATTATAGTTCATCGTGCTTACCAAGCAGCATTATAGTCTTGGCAAGTCCGCACGGACTAATGGTGCAATAGTATCATTGTAGTCTTTAATGTTGCAATATGCCAACAAACTTGAATTAAAATTTCATGGGAAAGTCGTCCACTGGCTAAATTCACCCTATAGTGGAAAGCACCTAACCTTCTACCGATCATGAAAAACTCACTTAAACCTCTGTCTCAGTCAAGTAATTGTGTACAACAATCTTGAAGTTCTGCAAGGAGGCTATAATCGTGAACATTTTTTTTTATCGAACCTCTTCTTGGTCTGATATGAGCTACGCACTCAAGTACATGTGTTGCACAATTTTATCGTCCTTAACGATTATATTTGTAGATATGACAACAAACATGAATTAAAATTGCATGGGAAAATCAAAATATTCACCTAAAAGCACCTTCCCTTCTATCTATGATGGAAAACAAACATTTCAAACCTCTGTCTTAGTCATGCCTAAAGTTTTATAACGTAGCACTTTTTTTTATCGGAGTCGTTTTTAATTTCCCTTCGACTTGATGACGAATTACTGTACCATTCAACAAACCGTGACGAATCGAGATCCCATTGAGATATTGTTCTCACATATCAAACATTTTGTACCTTAAATTTGTAACAAAGCTAAGCACAATTATTATTTTTAAACGAAGTCCTTCTCTAAATAAATTTTTGTCACAGCATGGTAGATTGTATAGCAATGGGAAGGCATAATATGTAAATATATTAAATCCAATTAGTTATTGTAACTAAAAGGAAGATCGCGTGAACCCATTATAGGTAGAACAAGTCAGTGGAAACGGCCTTCTTCCATCAGGTCATATATGTAAACTTTGCTGCTGTTTGAATTAATCCATTCAGTTGCATGAGGATGTGATGCCTGTCCGCACAAAACTGTCGTTGTAAACGTTCAAGGATAAAACTAGTCCACCAAGGGGTTAAACAAGTTGTACCACAATTTCCGATAGAAGGCTGCTTTCGTGTGATAGCAAGCACTTCACGACATCTTAACGCGCTATTGAAAGGGGTTTGCGTTTCTATATACGATTACGAAACAGGCTATCTCCGTATATCAGCCACGAATATATGAGCTACGCGCTCAAGTACATGTCTTCCAAAAGGTTATCGTGCTTATCAAGTATCATTGTAGTCTTGGAAGACCCGCATGGATTAATGGTGCAATATGGCAATAATTCTAAAATGAAATTTCATGGGAAAATCGTCCGCTGAATGTCTTCAACCTGTAGTGGAGAGCCCCTTACCTTCTACCGATCATGAAAATATCAATTTTAAACCCTTGTCTTTGAAAAGCAATTGTGTACAACACGCCTGAACTTATGTAATGAGGTTAAACACGTGAACGATTTTTCAACCGACTTCCTTCAAGATACCCCTTCGACTGAATGACGTTCATTGCTGTACCATTCAAGTAATAGTGACAAGTCAAGACCACATTGAGATATTGTGCTCTTATATCAAACCTGTATGATAGTCAAGCAGGTTTGTACGATCACGCCCTACAACGTTCGGAACAGGGCTATATTTTTTAAATTTTTAGCCGAAGTCCTTTCCTATATAAGTAATATTAGCTAGAAGGGAAGTAAACTTTATTATCTTTGCCTTAGCATGGTAAATTGTATAGCAATGGGAAAGCAAAGTGTGTCGATATTAAAACAAATTAGTTAATATAAATTTAAGCACGATCACGCGAATCTACTATATGCAGAACAAGTTTCGGAAGTTTTGGAATGAGGCTTTACACGTGAATGAGCTTTTAATCGAAGTCCTTCTTGGGGGCTCCGCAAGTCATATCCGAACGGCAAATACTCCGCATTCGCGATGAATGGTCATAAAATATTCAAAATACGAAAAACCACTGTTTATCCCGCTTCCACGGAACGGGTGCGAATATGAAGACAAAAGCATATAGTCAGTGAAGTCTGAGCAAAGTTTAAGTAGTGATTTCATACCTATTCAGAATGGCACACGTTGCGAAAATACCAGCAAACTATGCGATATATATCTGAACCCGCCTGGCGATTTGCGAACGGCATATGGGGCACTCTGTGAGACTCTCAGAGCACTCTAGACACGAGCATGCGTGACCACAATTGAGCAGCACTATCTCAATCGACTTGTCAAGACAGATAGCGCACCGTCGTTGTTGCGAACGTTGTAGAGGCGCCTTGTCCGATTGTTTGGTTTGTGAATTCTGAACCGAAACGTGCTGAAATGAATATGAAATTTTCGTCCACATTAGCGCTTTGTTGTCATTAAACGATGGGGATAATTCTGAATGAGCACTTTCATATGTTTCTTGCGCATAACATACCTCTTCTATCCTTTGAGTCTTAAGTCTCAGTTTAGCCTCCGAGTCTCTCACAGTGTTCAATGCCAGAAGGCACATTTTGTGATCTGCTGGAGTCAGGCCAAACTGCGTATAGTAGCGGGCAGAATTGAATAAGTGTGATGCAATATAAAATTTCACACATAGTCGTACGTAGTTACACAACAAATCACAATGAAAACGAAAACTGAGAGTAACAAAGCAGTACCGAGTGATGAAAGTAATTTAAACTGAAAGCGACACACGCCTAGAGACCTCAGAATGAACGAAGAATCGTACCACAAAGGCGTAGTATGCGAAATTCCTACCTGATCGAGAACAGTGCTATTATCATCAGACATCAGACGACCAATATCATCAGCCGGCAGCGCGAGTACACGCGAAATGTGCTGCTTTAAACCCAGAGATTCAAATAATGAAACGATCTTCTTTTGACTCGGATGTGGATCATCTCTTTAAAGAAAAAAAATAACAGATGAAAAGTGGACAATAGAGCTCACTCATTTTTGATGACGTGATTAGAAAAGTCCGTATTATCCAAATAAAACCTTAAAAAAACTCATAAGTTCAAGTACCTTGCTATCGTGACATGATTAAATTCCTCACTCAGTCGAGGAGCCGACGCACCAATGAAAACATCAGATTCACCAGTACGCGCGCTATTTCCAACGGGTTCAGCTTTGCTATCCTTTGCCATCCAATCCAGGTAGGGTGGGGGTTGGCAAACAGTCAAAGGAGCCGGTGCATCTTTACAGGCAAGAGACACAGAGTAGCCGGGTGGTAAAATACTCGACGGCGGACCGCTAGGCGCATATGATGCTTGCTGCTTCGCTATATCACTCTCTCCTGAAAAATACCCGGGGGTTGCAGAGGCCGATTGCGTACAACTGCTCTGGCTAACCATAGGTTCCGAACGCTTTGTTGGTATAGTACTCTCTACCGGAAAACTGTTCGGGGCCGGGTAGCCAGAATCCGACCGCAAGTGAGCTCGCACAGGGGACGGCTGGGTAGCAAATGAATGAGAACCCGTTTTATTCGACAATTCACCCAAAATCGGCAGAAGGGCGGCAATTTCAGAGACAGCGGCTGATCGGTCTTGTGCCAATGCACGGTCGTCCTGACCCGCAAAACGCTCCCGCACGCTGATCTCAATCAGTCGGGATTGTAGCTCGGTATAGCGTAGATGTGCCTCGGAAAAACGGATTCTGGCGTCATTCACGTCCTTTACGGCCTGATCTTCAGCTTCTTGACTACAAATACGGACATAGAATAAACGAAATCAAAAGTCCTTTAAAACATACGATAGTTTGCATTTCTCAACTTGGTTAGCTACAATGGAATAATCAAAGCGTTGAAAATGTCTACTCGTAGAGAAGTGGACGAGAAACATATAATTTAAAACCAAGCTAATAGTAAGGATCGAAAAGAGGTGGGATACTTACTGAACTCTCAGAGCGCCCAGGGCTTGCATTTTTCGGCCTTGATTGGGCATGTAACTATCCTCCACATACATGGGTGGTCGATATTGTACATTGGCCAGCTTGCATAGCAAACGGAGTAGAGGATCATCGCCAGAAGTGATGGCCTCCTCTACATGAATATCAGGTATCCCACTTCGCCTAGCTTTATCGTTAAAATAAAATAGCGGATTGTCCAAAACCTACAGCGAAGCACAAGGAAAAGACCGCTGATTGAAAAAAAAAGTCCCTTCGCGTTTGCAGGAGAAAATTCAGGACTAGCGACAAGTGTGAGAAGACCAATGGCTATCACACTAAGTCTTGTGACAAAAAGCCCAACATTAAGTTGGAGTGAAGGCACTACCAGATACACAAAATTTACCTGAAGGCTTTGCAAATACGGCATGCTGGTCAATTCATGTGGGAGGTCCTGGATTTGGTTGTGTTTGACATATATCGATCGCAACAGAGGAAGCTTGCTAAGCACAAGTGGAATTGCTGACAACTGGTTGTATGACACATCAATTCGTCGTAGACTTTCAGCCGCGATCAACGCATCGGGTAACGATTTTAATCTGTGACATTCAGCAGAAAAAATAAAGTCGAGAGGATAGGAAATGTACATTTAAGGTCAACCTTAACTTTAACATCGATGGCAAGTTATAGACGGAGGTATGTTTTTGACAATTGTCCGAAATAGCAGGAAACAGCCGAGCTATCAACATCACAGTTACCTATTCTTACTTAAGTCGAGCGTTTGGAGGTTTCGGAGGCTGTTCATGTTGCCTTCAAAGGATTGGAGTAAGTTTATATTCAGCTTCAGAGTGCGCTTTTCGCTCGAGATAAAAACAGCAAACATTTCCGCAGGAATCTAAAAATATACGGGCGACAAACAGAAGCTTTGACATGAGTGACCGTTTCGCGGCTTTTCTCGATCGAAACTCGAATATAAACCGGGTATGATGCGATAACTCAGTGTTAGCAGAATCAGTAATACACCTTGGTCAGTAATAGCCTGGAGAAATCCGCCACATCATCTGGCGACATCTCGGCTTCCCAAAGGAGCTGTGCGACACCTTTTGTACTAGCGCGCGGGAGGTCATGTTGGATGCCCTGTTTCGGTTGATCGGACACAGATGCGGTGTATAAACCTGAATTGAAAGGTGGAGTGAAATAAATAAGTGTCATCGCGCCAGCCGGCAAATTGTGGCCGGCAACACTCGGTTAACATATCCCATCACTCGTGCAAGAGGAAAATACTCGATGCTGAAAGCCGTTAGGTCGCTGCATTGATAAAGATTACATTCAGGATAAATTTGCCATAATCATACCTGCAACGGTATTTGCGGCCGTATCTAATACGGTGTCAGTGTCTATCCCATCGAGTGGCCCTTCATATACCGCACTTTTCTCACGCACTAAGTACTGCATCACGCCTCTGCAACCACTTTCGCTGTATATGGCCAGAGGCGGATCCTTCAATGATATGTTCCCACCCAGTCGCACATCTTCAAGGTGCGGTAGCTTGGCCAAGAATTTTGGTATTGATTCCAGCTTGTTGTCTGAGTACGAAAATGAACAGACTATGTGCGCTTCGGATTTGACTCAAATTTTGGCCAAATTCACAATTTGTTGATCGATCTCGATTTCTTGTGGTGAAAAAAAGTAGCATAAAAATAAACGAAAATGTGTCCCACTGCTACGTCATATGACTGACGCTGCCAAAGTTAGGGATTCATTCTGCTGACAGGTATTATTTACCAATACATACGTTCGATAGATAGAAGCGTTAAGTTGTTGAGATGCTCGACAGCAGGGGGCACATTCGTTATCTGATTGTGGTCTAGGACAAGTACCCGCAGCACTATCAGCGCACATAGTTCGTGCGGCAGTTTATTGATGTGGTTTTGACTAAGATCCAGAATCTGTGGACGTGTGCGGATTGAGGAAGGAAAGACAATGTGGCAAACATATGTGTCGATGGACTTTCAGCTAATTCGGAAATCCAATGCAATTTTTGTGTGTGCAAACTCAAGGCAAGAAGCGATACTTTTAGACCATGGCTAGACTCACCTCCACACGGGAAAACGCATTTAAGCGAGCGCCAGGGCCAAAATTCACAATTTTATTTTGCGACAGTATTAGCGAATTTTTCTCACCAGAGAACAACCCGAAGAGCTCGTTTGGTAGCTGAGGAGCGATGAAACATACATTCAAATATAAACTAGCAGTTATGATTGCGAGCAGAAGATAACAGCCGTGCATAACGAAAGATAACAAAAAAAAAGACTTAATCATACCTTCTCTATCTGACAGTCAGACAAATCAACCTCCGGTGCTGGCGAGTTTTCAGACTGCCAGAGGATACCTTGCACCTTTTTGCTAGTTTTGGTTCGCGTGAGCTTCACCGAGCCCGCATGTGCAGGAGACATGCTTCCCTTCGCAGTTGTCGACTTCGGCTATTTAGATGACATCGCATAATACAAAATAAGAGATTGTATTACAACAATGCCGATGCGCAACATAATCAATATTATGCTCGAGTTTGTACCTCAAATTACCTCAGATTACTTTCCGGAGATTAAATAACTAAATATCTCGAGCATGAGATAATAATACTTCCGTAAGGGCACCAATAATACATATATATATACTTGCACACCGACACAAATCAGTATGATAGACATGTATAGACGCACACAGACGCACAGACACAGACACAGACATAAATATATACAATATCTATATCTATATCTATATCTATATATATATATATATATATATATATATATATATATATATATATATATATATATATATATATATATATATATATATA